TGCATCCCCAACAACATGGAGATACATCTCCTTCAGCTTAAAGCGGCCTTAGGTTCATAGATTCAGTACAATTTCTATTGTCTTCATTAGACAGTCTGGTCAAGGCCAGCGATACCTTCCCTATCACCGACCGATACACAGGCGCCCGAGACTAGACCCTGCTTATGAGGAAGGGTGTGTACCCCTATGAGTACATGGATAGTTGGGTCAAGTTCACGAGACCAGACTACCCCCATCAGAGAATTTTACAGCAATCTGACCGACTCAGCAATATCCCAAGATGATTACTCACGCGCTATTAATGTATGGAATAAACTGGGTTGTAAGAACCTGGGGATTATCCGCGACCTGTACTTGAGGACAGATGTACTGCTGTTAGCCGGCGTGTTTGAAGCGTTTAGGCCGGGCGTGTTTCAAGCAGTATAAACTTCGACCCGCATGGTATTACACCAGCCCAGGTCTGTCTTGGGATGCCTTGCTTAAAAGACCGGAGTTAAGTTGGAATTGCTTACAGATTATGACATGCACCTATTCATTGAGAAAGGCTTTGAGGTGGGATCTCCATGGCAACCAAGCGTCTGCGAAAGCAAATAATCAATACGTTAAGGGCTATGACCCTAGCAAGCCAACCAATCACATTCTCTACCTCGCGCCAAACAACCTGTATGGCTGGGCCATGAGCCAGTATCTACCCACAGGGGGTTCGAATGGGCGTCACAGGAGGTCGATGTTATGAGCATCGCACCAGATTCGAATAAAGGTTATATCCTCGAGGTTGACTTGGAATACCCCAAGGCATTACACACATCACACAACAGCTACCCCTGGCCCTGAGCGTATGAGGGTTAAGCAGACTGGATGTCTGAGTACCAACATAACTTATTAGGTGGGCGGGTGGCAGACGTTGAAAACTTCGTGCCTAACTTAATGAATAAGACCAAGTACATCGTTCACTATCGCCAACCTACAGCTGTACCTTAATGTCGTTGGGTATGAGGCTGACCAAAATACACAGGGTGCTTTCGTGTTCAACCAGAGCCCTTGGATGGAGCCTTACATCAGAATGAACACAGACCTCCGAAAGCTTGCAACCAGTGACTTTGAGAAAAATCTCTACAAGCTCATGAACAACTTCGGTGTTTGGTAAGACTATGGAAAACCTGAGGAAGCAGCGTGACCGTGAAGCTGGTTCGGTCGAATAGGGAAGACAAGCTCAGGAAACTGATAGCCAGTCCGGCATTCAACCGTAGCAAGATATTCACCGATGACCTAGTTGCCCTACACATGAAGAAAAGCCACATAAAATTCAACCGGCCTGTTTACGTGGGGATGAGCATCCTCGATTTATCAAACACCTGATGTACGACTTTTACTGCGAGCTTAAGAAACAGTCACGGCGACAGGTGTGAAGTGCTGTACACTGACACGGATTCCCTGCTGATGGAGATTCGAACCGAGGGCGTAATACGAGGACATGAAAAAACACCTCGATTTGTATGACACCAGCGACTACCCCAAGGACCATGCCATACACAGAATACGGTAAATAAAAAGGTCCTAGGTAAGATGAAGGATGAGTGTGCTGGCACGCCCATAGCCAGTACATAGGGTTGAGGCCTAAGATGTACTCCATACTGAAGGCCGACAATGGTGAAATCCGGAAGGCTAAGGGTGTTAAGAAGTATGTGGTGAAACAACACATCAAACCACGCCAGATTCAAGGAAGCACTGTTCAAGACCCGTACCTTTAGGCATAAAATGAACACACTTAGAAGTGATGGCCATAAGATATACCGGACTGACTATAAACAAGACATCCCTGTCAGCCTATGGACACTAAGCGTTGGATAGCTATTGATGGGATAAACGTGCACGCGTATGGACATGAGAAAATTGAACATGTCACGGAATCAGAGAAAGTTTGAGGCTATTTACTATAGCCAGCGTGGGTACTGGAAAGGAGCTAAGCGCTGTAGATAAGCTGGCTAAAATGGCGCGAGTACCCGGAGGAGGCCAAAGCGTGGCTTGAAAAACAAGCCCTGTGGCAGATCTATTTGCCGGCACCACGCTTCACGTGCCTAGAAGGAGGTTCGGTATTAACATACCTAATAGCGTTCACCAGGCAGACCTACTGTTCCTACCCCACGACAAGAGGTACAAGTATGCCTTAACCGTAGTGGGCGTAGCCAGTCGCTACAAAGGAAGCCGAGCCCCTTGACATGAAGAAAGATTCGCCCAGGTAGCCAGAGGATTGACGCATATACAAGCGCGCCAGTCCGCTGGCGTGGCCAACAGAGCTGCAAGTTGACCCCGGACGGGGAGTTCATGGGTGGCGATGTCACAACTGCTAAGCCAAACCACGATACAAAGGTCAGGCGTGGCACGGCTGGAGCCCATCGCAGCCAAGCCATAGTTGAGAGATTTAATAGGACTTTGGCTGGCGCTTTCGGACATCAGTATGCTAGGGAGATGGCAACCCGGGGGAAAGCGATCGACTGAATGGGTGGCGAGGTTACCCAAAGGTGGTGTCGGCAATCAACCATGAAGTCACCCGGCTCACTGATAAGAAACCGGCAGACGCTATCAAACTGAAATCAATAGTTGCAGAGCCGGCTGCTCCATTGCGTGGGAAGGAGAAACAGATACCAGATAGGGCCCTAGTGAGGGTATCTATACCAGCCGGGGAACACGAGGGTGATAGCCGTGTAAGCGAGCCACTGATCCTATATGGTCAGTCAAAACTTACAACATAGATAAAGTGGACATCAAAGCAGACGAGCCTAACTTGTACTACTTGAGGGATGGGCCAGGTAGGGGGTTTGTAAGAGCGGAATTATTGATCGTACCGTACGGCACAGTGTTACCTCCAGCATAGCGGCAATCCCGGGATACCAACACACTCCAGCCATACCCCCGGCGCGGCTAGGAGGTCCCCCAAACTTTTTCATAGTAGGGGTAATGGTAGCAAGAGCTAAGGGTCCGACCAAAGCCTTACTTGTGAAATAAGGCTTTGCAGAGGCTTTGGTTGAAAGTGGTCCAGAACCCCCATTGTATATACTACTCATGATCCCTCTTATCCATTACACTGCTTGATCTAAAGTAGTCTATTAAAGTATAATTAATTACCTTACCGTGTTTATGCCAGAGGTACACCCTCATGTCCTGTTCCATCCTTTCGGAAATATCACCACAAATCTGGCTCTTTGTCAACAGACTCGCGAACATGCCAGCGAATCCGATTCAATTTGAATTCACTACACTTTGAAGCCACTAGGTCACAAAACACTTTCCAAAATGTGAAAAATAATATCCAGAGAATCGAAGTTGAGCACAAAGTACACACATGAGTGTGTAAGGGTCACCACAGCTGTCGCACACGCAGACGTGAGAGGTCGCGTGAAATCGTCAAGTTGACAGGGCTAAAAATTCAATAGTATCTAAATTGATTACAATCACGGACTTCTCGTTACAGCAAAAGCCTCTACTCTTAAATTTTGTACCAGTACCAGTAATTAGATATCAAAGACTATCTCAGTCATACAATCAGGTTAACCTTGCTCAAACTGTCAGAGGCTCTCCTGTCGCATCTTTCCAAATTTGCACGTAAATGTAAACAATGACTTCCGAGAAAAGGTCAAGGCCATGAGGTTGCTGCCATTATTCTGGTGGGGAAAGGGTCTACGGTGGAATTTTCAAATGTGAACCAAGCTTTTTAAACCTATTTGATATATGTTTTCCAACTTATCAGTTAATGATCGATGATTAATGCATTGAAAAAACAAACCGTGATTTGTTATTACTGAATCTGGAGTTTGTTAGTTATTGACAGTCTGCCACCAATCACCCCCGTTTCGGCGATGCCACTTGAGATTGGAATGCGAGGCCGCTTCAACGTATTCACTCATAACCAAAGAAAGAGTTCCACCTGAAATTGTTCATAAAGAGTCATGGTAGAATGGAGATAAACCTACTGTGTTGGAAAATCAGAGGTATATAACGAAATTATAATAGCTCTAAATTGTTCATTTAAGACCTCACGCTACGCGTTCGGTTTTAAATGAAATTTAGAGCTATTATAATTTCATTATATACCTCTGATTTTCCCACACAGTAGGTTTATCTCCTAATTATACTGTCACTCTCTCCATTATACTGTCACACTCTCTCCATTACACTGTCACTCTCTCCATAATACTGTCACTCTCTCCATTATACTGTCACTCTCTCCATCATACTGCCCAAGCTGTTTTGACCGAAGCCAATAGTGGAGAGTAGGGATGGTTGTGAGGGATAAGTATAAAATATCAATTTTATCATAAAAATTACATATTTATCCTTATCCTGACTCATACAGTATTTCTTGTCTGGCTTTTTCCTGAATATTTGGAAAAAATAAACTGTGACACCTATCTACCAACGCCCGAAACATAGCCCAAAATTTCATATGTGGTGTGGGATATCATCACGTGGAGTGATGCTGTTGTGTATTTTCACTGGAAATTTGACGAAGGAACGATATGTTGACATCTTAAATGGTCACCTCCTTCTAAGGGCCCAAACACTGTATGAAGATAATTGGATTTTCAAGTGTGACAACGACCCAAAACACACTGCAGGCTACACAAAAGAGTGGTTGTTGGATGAAACGGTTCAAGTTTTAGACTGGCCCAGCTACAGCCAAGAATTTGTGGGGAGTCATGAAGGACAGAATAAATCAAAATATTGAGGAAATGAAAAAAGAAGTGGTTGAATATTGGGACACGCTGTCACACGATTTCCTACTAACTAGATCAGTAGTGTACCTTGGCACATTCAGTCGTGTACTGCTGGGCAAGGAGGTTTCAAACAGTACTGCAAAGACACTTGAGAATCATATCTCAACATATTCATTTAAGTATTTATTTCACCTGTTTCTGCACTAGTTGATATCTATTTCACCTGTTTCTGCACTAGTTAATATCTATTTCACCTGTTTCTGCACTAGTAAATATCTATTTCACCTGTTTTTGCTTGGATCGGTGACAGATTTGGTGTCAGGTTGCATGCATTGATCTTAGACACGAACAGAACTGTGGATGTTTTTGGATCCAGATTGCCCTTCTGATTACTGCTGACATATCTCTGCTTCCTCGGGATAGCACAAACACTACAACAGCAAACAGTGAGTAAGTGAGTGAATAAAACACATATAAAGAAGTAATATGGAAGTTGTTCATCCACACAAAGTTATCTTTCCTTACTGCTCCAACTTTAATGTAATTTTCTGACTAAAATTGATATTTCATACTTATCCTGACTCATGCTCAATGCTTGTCTCCTTCTTCTTGCGAATTATAGTGGAACACCTGAAATCCCTTGAAGTTCCCTTCTAAAAAGCAGACGTAAAATCCTCACTCACCCACGAGTAGTCTCCCTTGCCTCCTTTGGTGCCCTTTTTGGTCACATGACCAGCCATGTTTGTCACTCTTTCCGTTTGTACGCCAGACACCCAGATTTACAGGGAAATCCAGAGTGCCATGAGAGGGGAGGTTGGGAGGGCTGACCTCATGAGTCAGGATAAGTATAAAATATCAATTTTAGTCAGAGGTTCCTCCGCAAACATTCAACTTCTGAGTCCACCATAGGAGTTATGGTTTCAGGCTGTCCGGTAGTATCAGTGGATCCAAACTGTCGAGATGGGCGTTCACAAATATTGTAGTGGGCGCAGCTGTAATCTCCCTCTGCGAGTCATGTCTTGAGCTGAGGTGAGTAGACCGAGCATGCTTTGCCAAGCACATAGTGTCAACGGAGAGAGCATTGCTTGAGATATCATATGTTGTATCTTGACCCAACGATCCTTTGGGACGACCGTGTGATTCTGTGGTGTGATGAGCCATATTCCCAAAAATTTAAGATCCTCTTTTGGTTCCAACTCCGATTAGGAGATTACTAGCCATCTACTGCAATCATGTCCTACGCTGTAGGTACGTGGATCTAGGAACCCTTGCCATGTCCGTCATGAAAGCGGAGAGATGATCGATTCTGGAATCATGGCTTGAAGCTTGTCTCATCAATCTTCCGGTAATATGTAACGAAGATGTTGTCACCAGAATCCTAACAATGTGCAGCAATGATGCATAATACGTCGTCTGTAGATCAGCAAAAAATCTATGATGTACTGGGACTGCCACCAATGTGAAGTATTTATAGTCAACTGGCTGCCGTGAGCAGAAACCGTCTAATGCTTGTTGCTGCAAGTCCCCAGATAACCAATGTTAAATCTGCTACAAAGGAAGTCCTCCATGACCCGTGAAGATAGTCGAACACGCTGTACCCTGCTAACTGGACTGTAAATGGAGCCTTTCCCACGTTGAAAGAGTTGTTTACAACTGTAGACGACTTCCTGGCATGTGACTATGACCGAGTTACTGCAGTCGTCATCTTAAACAGATGTTCTGTAAAGTTGACCGTAGCCGATGTCTCGCTGAGGAACTGCGACAATGCTGTAAACTGTCCCCTTGATATGTTGTAAGCCCATGTGATGAAAATTCTTCTTCAGTGTTTCATCGGATGTTATCTGACATCGTTACTTCAGGTGTGCATCTCTTCCTTCAGCCACGCGTTGATCCAACATAGCCAACATCTAGTTGTAGTGTCCAGTTGCGTTATCTTCTTATCTTCCATCTTGAAGATCTATTACGGGATTCACTGATGATCTTGTAATCTCAAACCCTGATGTTATCATGAAGGGCTCCATATGATGAAGGAGAAATCTGCTATCGTTGAACAACGGGACATGCTGACTGATTATAATCCTCCCCGTGAGTGCCTGCGCGCAGGTTGATGAAGGTCCAAGTTGGAAGATCCTTATCTGCGCAGTCTGTAGAATCCTGGAGAACGACTGGATCTACTTCTGTGTTAGAATCCTTCCTGCTGAGACGCTGAAACTGCGTGGAAGCTCCGTTGTGGACTGCTAACACTAAGCTGGCATTCATTGAATCCTCCAGGCTTCTAACTGCTGATACTTCTGACAGTAAAGATCTTCGCAAACGTAACCGTTCGTGCAGGCCTTCATCCAAGAGAGCTTGCATAGCTATTCCTTCGCGCAAGGCGCCTGTCATCGGAGGGGTCTGCTATGCTGAGCTGACGTAAGTAGAGTTCTCCAGACTTCTAATTTCAGATGGTGAAGTTGCACATTTCCCTATCTAAAGATCCATAATGACGTGAGTCTCTGTATGTAGATCTGTATGTAGCTGCGTGCAGGTGAACGGTCCCAGTGTGACTGTGTATTCCTCCTGGAGTCTTGAGACATCTCTCTAGGCCTTCATGAAGGCTGATTGACGTAATCTCCCCTCTGTGAGATGTGGAGTGCCTGCGCGCAGCTTCCCGATGTGAGTCTAAGTCCGACGGTGATGACGATCTATATCTGCGGCGTCTGTGGGGTTCTGGAGAACGCTTCAATCTGCTTCTGTCTGGAGAATCTTAGAGGCTCCTTCAGGGACGTCTAAGGCTGAGCTAATGTTGGTAGCGTTGTCCAGCCTTCTAGCTTCAGACTTTGAAGATCGTCAGGTGCCTGGGCCTTCGCGCAGGCTTTCCTCTTCATCCAGGTGTGTTTGAGAGGCTGCTGAACCTTCATGTAGGCTTGTAGTCGTCGTAGTGGTCTTCGTAGCAGCTTCCTCCTGCGCGCATCAACGTTCCATCATCGACATCATCTGATCTGTAAACTGTTGCATAAACAGCCCCGGGTTGAAGTTCTGCGAAGTATGTTGAGACTGCTGCAGGGTTGATGATGCTTCTGAGAACGTTGAGGCCTCTTCTAAGGTACACTGCACTTGTGAAGAGTTGACGCTGATGCTATCTCTGGTACCCGATGTCTGCGTTGATAGAAGGTCTTCTGTCAATGTCTGCGCTGATATAGTTGCCGATGTAGCTGTTGAAGCAGGCTTCGTCTTCTTGCTGACTTCAGGTATGATGATGGGGGGGGATCATCATACACGTCTGCTTCTTCCGGAGGTACAATATCGGCAGTGAAGGATCTAGTCTTCTGTGTAGAGCTGTGAAGAGACTTTGACGAAGTCTTAGGAGCTGTAGACTTCTTCTTCTGCACTTGTTGTCTTCGTCTGCGATTAGGACAGCTCTGTTGACGACGATCTCTACTTCTTCGAGACTGAGTTCATCTCTGGAACAGCAACCTGCTCTCGTAAAACTCTCGGCAATTCACTGGAATTACTCGTGGGTGAGTGAGGTGAGTGAGGATTTTATGTCCGCTTTTTAGAAGGGAACTTCAAGGGATTTCAAGTGTTCCACTATCATTCGTAAGAAGAAGAAGACAAGCATTTAGCATGAGTCAGGATAAGGAAAAATAATGCCTCTCAAAGAAGTTAGCAGTCAATAATTATTTTGTGATATTATTTGAAGAGTAGAGTTTAACTATAAGTTTAACTTATAAGTAAGCAAATATGTAACCACAACAATTTGTGCCCACAAGCAAAGAAAACAAAGTGAGTTAAAAAAAATGTATCTACTATATTGAAAATTTTAACTATAAATTGTATATTTATAATACTTATCGTATCTCACGGTATGCACGTGACAATATTTGACCTTGGCTTCTGACTTGACCATAGCCTGCAACATGTCAAACTATGTCAGACACGTCAGTTTTCAGTGTTCAGTTTTGGTCCAACAACAACGTTAATACTATTAATAATAGTGCAATTGTTATGGTTAGCACCAGCAAGAAAGCCAATATTACCGCTAATTAAAGCGGCAATTTGGGTTGCCTTGACTTGTTTGCCCCAGAATATCTGCCAGTCCAAAGCCAATGTCGAATGAACCGTAAGCCCACGCACCAACTATGACGTCACTTGACAACAGAACTGATAGTGGCCTGGCGTTAAGGTTGAGCGGTCCAATATCATTTGCAGCGGCCCGCAAATTTCTGATAATAGGAGGGCCGTTTCATGATAATTCCATGTATCTTAGCTATAAGGTATAACAACCATGGTGACGCATTGCACAAGGAGGCCTGGCCTCCAGGCTGGTGTAAACACCAACTACCGATATATGCTACACTCCAATACTTGTGATGGGTTGGTTCTCATGGTGTCTTCGCATGAAGGCGACATTTTTGGGTGTGTAAAAACATGGGCCGTTTTTCGTTTTCGCCTTCATGCAAGAAGGGTGGACATTTGCAACAATGGGTTCGGGTGTTCATACAAGAACCTTAATCTCAGAGGAAGGTGACAACCACAAGACGTTCATGTTTACATTATACATACATATGTACAAATCATTTTATAAAATATTTCATTTCCACTTTCCTTGTCCTTCTTTATCATTAGAAAATGTACAAAGTAACAGTTTATCATCGTATCATTTTATATAATAATTCACTTCCACTTCCACTGTTATTCTTAATCATTAAAATATGTACAAGGTATCATCTGGTTGGAATCCAACTCTGTAAATCTTTTTTCTTTGGTGGGAGGCGCTGAGCGGTGGCTTATTGCACCAAGTTGATTTCTGTGGATTTCTGCTCTCTTAATAGGAATAGAAGAAATTCGAAAAAGTTTGGATGGGCCTTACCAACCAACTACTTCGTGATCGCCTGACACATATATTCTCTTTTGGGGTTGATTCGGAGTGGGTTATCTCTATGAACTTGCATCTGTCCTTGTCACTGGAAACAAGAAAAGATGAACACCAAAGGGACACTTGATTCTCATTTCCTCTGCACGCAAACCAGAGGGTCAAATCAAACCATACTTTGTGTAATAGACCAACTGGTGAGGCCAAGTCAAAACTTTCGCGGATTGTATTCAATTCGGTTCGAGGAAAAGCAGAATGGTGTTTCGTCTCGTCTAGACCCTCTTTCTTCATCTTTCTAACAATGGACATGAAAACATTGTTGGCAAAATGAAAGGCTTTGTCATTCATAATAACCCCACGAAAGTGGATTTGGAGTAAAGCTGCCCTTAGCCGTTCCTCACTTCGGCATAAAAGCTCCTGAGGGGATCGTTGAGTTGGTCAACTGACAGATACTCAAAATCCTTGTGATGACAATGCTCAAGGAGCCATTCTGCGGACGGAAAACAAACACAAGAGGTACGATTGCAACATTTTAAATTTTTGATATGCTTGGGCTTGTGTCAGTGGGATTTCCTA